ATTTGAATATAAAGGTTTTTTTTTGTCTTTGTTTGGCAAAGTAGCGTTATATGTTATTGTAATGTTGAATTGAGTACATTATTGAGAACTTTTCGTCAATTTAACCTTTATTTTTTGGTGACGCGAGGAAATCTTCAAAAGGCCCCTAGCTTGTAGGGGAAAAGACTATCTAGAATGGGATATTTAACTCACTAAAACCCCCCCGGTGGCACGGGGTCCTCAGTAGACCAACCCCGGAGCCTCCATGGTACAACGCCTATCACAGCACCTCCCTATGGTGACATGTAAGTGTCTTCCTAGAGCCTATGACACTTTGATCGACCCCGAGACCATGTTTCAGGCTATCTCAACTACAATTTCAATTACTTGTTCAACATAACATTTTAATAAATAGCCAAATAAAACATTGCTCAACAAAGCATTCGTACTAGACATAGATTAATCGTGTGTTTGCGTGGAGAGGTTCAAGCGGTGTGTTTCAGTCTAAATACATACATTTTTATATCGTTTCTTTTTGTCAAATAGAAACATTATCTATTATTTAGACGACTTCTATTAAGTAATAGATAGTGATGGATACGGGTTCAATACTTAAAATAGACAAATCCATCAGCATTATTTAGGGTTGCCACCTTTTTTTTGGTATTCAAAGTACGTTGACGATTATAGGTAAGAAAAAAAAGTACATAGTACAAAAATAAAGTACAATTAATTCTTATTCAGTATTATATTTAAAAATATATTTTTTATTACTTTTTGCAGTTTTAATTAAATTAGTATCTTTACTAAACAATTGCATTAAAATAACACAATTGCATCTTTACTAGAAATTGTCTAAGTGGCGCAGGGGAGTGGCGAAATCGATTCAACATTAATCGATAAATATCGATATCAAATCGATAAGTTTACCAAAGAATACTTACGACTTCAATAGAAATGAAGTTTGCAAAAATAAAGTATTTTTGTGTACTTTGTTATTCTTATAAAGTATAGAGTACAATTACCTTAAATAACGTACAAAACTTTATTATAAAGTACGGGTGGCTACCCTAGCATTATTATTTCCATTAACCGGATAATGACAACTTCTGAATAAAGACCATTTATTAACTAAAATTCGCGGGTAACTTACGTAACGCCCTCTGTGTCTCGAAACTAGCAGAGCTTTTCTCATTATATTCACGTGAGTTAATTTAGTATGTCTCACGATAATTATTATAAAAATAAAGACCGCATCGCATCTTTAAGGTACCTAAGAAGGACCTTTTTTTAAAGGAGGAAAAACATCTAAAGGGTTCACCCGTTCTGGGTGAGGCGAGAGGTAGTTTCAGACTCTTACCGACTAAAAATCCGCCCTGTTCCTACTTCTGCTTCGAGCCGGAGCTTCAGTAACCCTTTGTCAGCGAATTTGCTATTATTCTAACACATGAAAATCGTAGTTAAGGCTTGACAGTTTAGAGGATACAGCTGCCATCCCTCGATTGCAAGTTACTGTTTGACGATGTAGATCCAATATTGTTTAAAGGTTTCTAAAAGAGGAAGAATATTAACACTTTTTTCATAATATAACATAGCATCACGCCTTTTATCCCCGAAGTGGTGGGCAGAGGTGCACATTACGCCACTGTACAATGTAACACCCACTTTTCACTATTTATGTTACGAGTCCCATGTGGGTGAGCCTATTGCCATATACCGGGCACAATCCAGAGTCCGTATAATACTGAGATTTTTTTAACCCAGTAATTCTTTGTCTGACCTGGGAATCGAACCCGAGACCCCTTGCCCGGCAGTCGCACTTACGACCACTCGGCCAACAAGGCAGTCATTATATTGATTCATTGATTGCTTATAATAATTTATGGTCAGCCGTATATTATAGTTACTATAGTGAGCCGATATAAATATTATCAGTCGCTCCAGAAAATTAATATGTCAATATATAGACAAGTATTATAAGAAGTAGGCATACGTAATGTTACCACGCGTACCTATATGAATGAAGAATCTCACAATAAGGTCACGAAAGACTTATTGACTGGTTCTTAGTAATATATTGTATTATTTACTCAGGTTAGGTTTGTTTGTAATATCTCTTGCCTTAGGCATACAAACATACATTTGTCAAGCAAATAGTGTTCATAACGCCATGAAAATAGGTTCAAGACGGCGTCAACACTTTTTAGATGGGAAAATGTTTTTATTTGTTTCCGAAAACAAGATGTTTACCTATAAAAATGTTTACAAGTTATTTGTATATATGTCATTGGTTGACTACGATTAATATTTTTGTGAACTAAAAAATCGAAACCAAGATTTACCTGTCCTAAAGCGTACACGAGCCTCCCTTGCAAACGCTTAACCAAAACGTTATAAGGTACATTTATCTTTCTATTCCTAGCCTTTTCAATTTACTTTTAAGTCATAACCAGATTCAGCTTAGAATACTAGTTTTTATCAACCTGAGTATAAGGGTACCCTGAGCGTATTTTAGCAGGAATATATTTATTATTTTATACTTTGTTTCATTACCTTTATTAATTAGCATTTTTTATATAAATAATGAAACCTAGAGACAAATTTTCTACTAAGATTATACTAGGTATCATAAAAATTTGATGTCAATATGAGAACTCTAACAAAGTTAGCTTAGTTTCGTACGACGAAGAAATCCCTAAGAAGATGGCGAATTCACACTCTCTGGAAGTTTCCTCTCGAATCAAAAGGCTTTCAAGTTGACGCGAATTTTAAGTAATGCCAAAAGAAGGTCTTCCTTCTGAATAACAATGTGCTTAGTGCCCTACTTCACACATGTATGTAAGTATATTCTTATGTACATATTTGTATGGCGTGGTGGCCAGGGTTCGAAACCTATCAACGGCAAGTACCAATGTGACTTTTTCCGAGTTGCATGTACTTTCTAAGATTATTTAGACACCACTGACAAATGGTAAAGGAAAAAATCGTGAGGTAGCTTATAATTTCTAATTTGATATTTTCTAATTTTATGAATAACTAGCGACCCGGCCCGGTTTCGCACGGGTGCAATATGCATATTTATTATACATATGTATAAACCTTCCTTAAGAATCACTCTATCTATTAAAAAAACCGCATCAAAATCCGTTGCGTAGTTTTAAAAATCTAAGCATGCATAGGGACAGAACGGCGGATAGTGACTTTGTTTTCACCAACCCGAAATCGCCAACCCGCATTGAGCAAGCATGGTGAGCATGGTGATTAATGCCCAAACCTCCGTGTGAGAAGAGGCTTTTCTCAGCAGTGGGCATTTATAGGCTGTTAATGTGATATTTGTATGTACTAAACATGTTTGTGTTTACTCAAAATATACTTAAACTACCAATGTGATGTATGGAAAATTTTTGCCATTTTCTAGTCACATTTATCACATCACAGTATTTCACAGGAAAGAATTTCTTATAGGACTTACAACGAAAATTCGTAATACTGCTTACCTCTTCAAAGAATAACAAATATGGTGAATATTCCAAAGTCAAAGTAAAAAATTGCAAATCAGTCCCGAAAATATTTTCCATATTGTTTTTCGAATGATTCGAAGCTATTCCGTGCGTACAAATAAGGATATTCGGTTCACGAATAAAATTCAATTTACTTTTATGGATAAAATTCAAGGTCGACTCGATTCTATTTTATTGCGGAGCGTTGTCGCGCTCCAGAATTTTCTTCTGGAGGTGACGTACAAAAAACTTGTTAAAAACTTCGATGGCAAACATGATATTTGTTAAGTTTTCAAACAAGGTAGATGTAATGGAAGCTTCTAAGTAAATCAAAATATTGTAACACATTATGATTTTTCTATACTGTTTCTTTAAGTGTTTGACACAGAATAAAATGGTGATATCGTTCTTGACGGATATTAATATTGAGAGACACATTTTAATTTCGTTATTAGATACCATTTTATTAGTGATTCCTTACGGGATTTGACATTGATGGGATTACACACCTATTGTCCGCGTTTATAAGACAATTACCACAATCATCATCGTCAACACATCACATTAATTTAGTTTAATTTTTTATAAATGAACTGTAATATTTTACAGTCTTTAAACCTAAGCATTATACATTATTACTGGATGATTTTCTCCATTGTAGACCGCATCATAGCTTACCACCAAGCGAGATAGTGGTCAAACGTCCGTCCATCAAATATATATATAAAGAAATAAGGTTTCTTTATTTATTTTGCTTCACGTCTCTGTCGGTAAAGTAGAAGTTTATTTAGAAGGATGATAGATAGAGCTACCACCTCTATTGTTTCTTTATCGTTAGAGATGGTAAAATAAAAGATGTCGAATGGACGTTTATATCACAAGAGATTGAAATAAACAAATTAATAATAACATACATATACATACCTCTACATACATAACTTCACGTCTGTCTCCCATAGGGGTAGGCAGAGACTAGGGAACGCCAATTACTACGATTCCTACATACCTCTTTCGCAGTAATCTATCTTTTCATGCATGCTCGTCGGTTAAGGGTACTTTTAATAGTATTTAAATATAATATGGGAATCGACATGCCTAATAATAAACTTTATATGTCGTTTCTTTTGATTACAGTTATGTTTTGTATGTTTTATTGTGTGTAAAGTTTAGTTTAGTTTTTAATATAAATTTTTGGTGCAATAAAAAATCTTTTGATTATAGAAGCAACACATTGCGTTGGTTTATGATGGATTCCGAATAATTGGCCTTATAGAGCTATATGTTATTATTAATAAATTTATTGCGTTATTTATGTTATTTAAAAATGATGCGAAATAGGTCGTTACCTTCAACACGCCTTTATTGATAGACAAACCTACTGCTTAATGTCCCACTGGCGACAACCCCATTAAAAAAAATGTTTTTATCATCGTCATCATCACAAATGTCATAAGACATCCAATGCTGAACATAGGCTTTCCCTTGGCTCCAGTTATTTATGTGCTAATTTTTTTTCCACAGGTGGTAGCAACGTATTTAGCAAATGATTCAACTCTACAGTTTATCAAAGACCGGCCCATCCACTGGGCTGGTGGCAGAAAGGTTCCACCACCAGACACTCCGGTTTGTGGCTTCGATGGATCACTTTGTCCTGATAACTGTAAGTACGATTCAGATAACACCGCATAATATTACGCGTTTTATCCCCGAAGGGGTAGGCAGAGGTGCACATTACGGTGTACTTAATGCCACTGTACAATGTAACACCCACTTTTCACTGTTTATGTTATGAGTACCATGTAATAGGGGGTGAGCCTAGTGTCATATACTGGGCACAATCCCAGATTTCGTACTACTACTGAGAATGTTTTAAAAAACCTAACCTGAGGTATTCTAACCCGAGACCCCTTGCCTGGCAGTCGCACTTGCGACCCCACTCGGCCAACGAGGCAGTCGAGAGAAGGCAGAGGAAGTACGATTCACTGACATAACAAAAAGAATTAGTTGTCAAATTACGAACAATTTTAACATTAACATAACATCACGCCTTTTATCCCCGAAGGGGTAGGCAGAGGTGTACATTATGCTACTGTACAATGTAACACCCACATTTCACTATTTATGTTATGAGTCTCATGTAATAGGGGGTGAGTCTATTGCCATATACCGGGCACAATTCCAAACTCCGTGGATTTATAAAAACTCAGTAGTACTTTGCCCGACCCGAGAATCGAACCCGAGACCCCTTGCCCGGCAGTCGCACTTGCGACCACTCGGCCAACGAGGCAGTCAATACATTATTACAATATTTTACAATACAAACAAATTAACCTTTAACAGAATAAAGAGTATTGTTAATGTATTAAAAGGTCGAAAAACAAATGTATTTTTAACTTCAACACTTTGAAGTCTCTTTGAACCAATTCGCTGAGACTTGTGAGGGAGGTAACAAAGTGTCCACAATATTTTTTACTTAACTTTGCTTTCATCTTATTTCCCTCTAAATCACAAAGAGGGACTTTTAAATGAGGTGTTGTTTACCTTCCAAGAAAGCCACTAAAGTTCTTATCTACTTAATTGTTCGTTTCTAAAAAGTACTTGATTTTAATTAAGTTTAAAGTATAGGTTTTAGTTAAAAATTAAATGATTTTTATTAACTGCTGTGGAATGAAAATTATGCTTCAATAAGTTTCTATTTGGACGTTGCACATGTTGTGTACCTGACGCATTGTAGTTTAGTTTCCACAAAACACTAAAAATTATGCCTAGGTTATTTGCATTTAAAAATTCTCTTATTTATCTAATTTAGATATTTTAGACTAGCTTTTAGCCGAATATTTTTTTATTTTAAAAGACTTCATGCACACACTAATGTACAAGGTGGGCTTAATGCCATGGGCATTCTCCTCCAGCCAGACCTTTGGGTGATGCAGAGACAAAAACAATGGTCGATGCAAGAAGCAAGCGTATTTAAAACTTAACAGAAATACATAGAAAAACGGATAGTATAGACTTATATAAAATAAATCCCTATATAAACTTACATGTATATTTCATAACAATAAACTTACACAATTATATTACATATACTACTTAGACGTAACATAACTATACATAGTATATTGATAGTTACGATTCTGCTAACCTCCTCAAAAGTATATAAATATAATAATATGAATATCTCACATTCTGAGGTTAAACCCTTAATTTCCTATGTCAAAAATAGATTATTTATTTTCAACCATTATTCTAATTTTAAAACTGGCTTCTTAAAACCTTTGTTTACCTTTTTAACGAAATTTATAATAAAAGAAGAAAACAAATTTAAATTTGGAATGTAAAGGATTATACCGTTGCGTTTAATACGCTGATGGCATTTTCAGTTTAATTAAAACTGGCACGACTTACTAATTACTTCAGTTAATATTAAAGACCAAATTTTATCAAAAAGGACGATTGTTTATATTTACATTCAAATCTGGTAAAAGGAATGGATAGGTAAAATGATGCGTTCATATTTAATACATGTTTACCCAGAATATTTTTTTTATATTATTATATTTCGTGAGACATACTAAATTAACTATTACTGCGGCGGGTCGCGGAATGCTGCTCATGAATATGAGAGCCTCTAGCATGGTTTGAAACTAGTCGAGTTCTTCGTCAAACAGTTACGAGAGTAAGCTGAAAACATTATAATTATTTTTTGTTAAACTAGCTGCTGCCCGCGACCTCGTACGTGCGATCCCATTTTTCCTGTTCCCGAATGTCCGATGAAATCCGAAAACTCCTATGTCCGTCTCCTAATTCTAAGCTACCTCCCCACCAATTTTCAGACAAATCGATTTAGCCGTTTTTGAGTTACCTATAAGTAGTGTTACTAATACGAGTTTCTTTTATAACACAACACAACACAACATCACGCCTTCTATCCCCGAAGGGGAAGGCAGAGGTGCACACAGAAGTAACACCCACTTTTCACTATCTATGTTATGAGTCCCATGTAATAGGGGGTGAGCCTATTGCCATATACCGGGCACATTTCCAGACTCCGTGCCACTACTGAGACCTTTTTTAAAAACCCAGCAATACCCTGCACTTGCGACCACTCGGTCAACGTCGTCGTCGTCAACTCGGTCGCGAGTGCGACTGCCGGGCAAGGGGTCTCGGGTTCGATTCCCGGGTCGGGCAAAGCATTACTGGGGTTTTTAAAAATTCCCAGTAGTAGCACGGAGTCTGTATTGTGCCCTGTATATGGCAATAGGCTTATCCCCTATTACATGGGACTCATAACATAAATAGTGAAAAGTGGATACATTGTACAGTGGCATAATGTGCACCTCTGCCTACCCCTTCGGGGATAAAAGGCATGATGTTATGTATTTTAAGTATGTATCTAGCAAAAACTTATTTTAACAAAGTTGTCTCGACGATCTACAGTTGTTTCCCACCCGCAACCGGTGCCAAGAATGCCAACTATCCTTATCTTATCTATTTCTAACCGTTCACCAACCCTCGAACTCCTGTCTTAACAATATTATCGGGTCTTTGTGAAAATCTTTTCTCACAGCTGACTCTAAACCTTTTTCAACTAGTTGGTTTAAAATCAAGCCTGTCCTATTATTTTATAGCTATTGAAAGATTTTCTTGTACTGAAATAGTAAATTCTACCAGCAGTTTGGCTCACGTTTCCTTGGAATAAAAATAATGCGAAGCTTATGTGTTTCTCCAAACAGTTATCTAGCACTCTTCTAATTTTTATCTAAAACATACAAAGTTTCATATTTATAATATTAAACTGTCAAACACCAAGCGGTCACCGGTGACCGCAACCTATTGTTCTATAATTGTGTCTACAAAGCCGGTACTCGACGAGTTAAGCTGGAAGTTGAATTTTTGATCTTTCTAATGTACGCTTGTACCCACCATTTTACTGATGAACACTAAAATACGTTTCTTTGTAAGGGAGGAAAACCGTCGAATGTCTGCTCCCGCCTGGGTGAGGAAGGTGGGAGTGTCAGACTCTTACTGACTATAAACCACCCCGTTCCTTCTCCTGCACTTCGAGCTGGATCCCCGGTAACCCGTTAGGTTCTCCGCGAACTGAAATACGTTATGATTCTAGTTTGAGAGTTTTTCTGTATGTTTCAATCACGTTAAATGCTAAAGGGATCGCGATTAAATTTGGAAAAGGGGTAGAATATGGTCTGGAGTAAGACAAACTACTTTTTATCTCATGAGCGAAACCGCTGGCAGAAGTTAGGGTGTATTCTTAAAAAACTTCACATACATTTGTAGAATCCTAAATTTGTATTCGGTAATTCGTATTTATATTTAGTTACGTCATTAGATATTTGTGGTGTAATTAATTGTAATTGTGGTTTGCAAGCGATTACAAACACCTGTCTGATTCAATTCTGTACAGTAATTATTATTAAAGTGCATCGTCATTGCTCTGATTTCGTCCACTGGTGAAATTCACTTCATGATGTCACAGAACTCGATCGTCAACTAAGATTAGACTACGTGGATCTCGACGTTTATTTATTCGGAAATCAGTAGTAATAGCACGGACTCACATTTTTTTTATATACCTCGACGATGGGAAGAAAAGCACATGGCCCACCCTATGGTAAGTGATTACCGTGGCCTATAAACGCTTGCGTGGCTCATATTTTATAACATGAAATTGATGAAAAGTGAGTGTTACAATTCAATATCTGTTGTTACTGATACAATAGGGATGATGACAGAGTATGGAAATTAAAAATCTATTTAGTCCGTCAGTTAGATAATAAAAAAAATCCTTACTAATATTATAAATCGGAAAGTGAGTTTGTTTGTTTGTTCCGCTATCACGCCGTAACTACTAAACCGATTGGTTTGAATTTTTGCAGATGTACAGTTAGAAGTCTGGATTAAACAATAGGGTACTTTTTATCCCGAAAAAATTTGATATTCTCGAGGGAAAACGAAATTATTGGTATAGATGGCGATGTGTGTATTGGTATATGTTATATAAGCTACTTTTTATCTTTTTGTGACGCGAGCAAAGCCGCGGCTAAAAGCTAGTATTACATACGTAATTTTTTTCTTATTAAAGTTTAGAAGTTGGAGCTTGCTATGTCATTTTAGAGTATAAAACGTACACAAAAGTGACGGCACGCGATATTTCAAATCAATATAATACCGTTGAAAGTATGTTTCCGTAAGAAAATGTAAATACGTGTGTAATGTTTTTAAATAATGTACCAGATAGATAATAAAATAAAAGTTAGTCTTTTCTAAGTGTAACTTCGGAATAAACAAACAATATCTACCAATTTTATCATTACCTGTGACGTCACTTTCAGATCTCCGAATAATGTTCAATTTACGCCAAACTGTCCACCATATTGCATTTACTTATCTACAATTAAGCGCAGGGAATTAATGTTCTAAATTCAAATTCAAATCGTTTATTGCAGGTTCATATAGGTCAAGTGTAGATGTTACAGTAGTTATTATAAAATAATTTGATCAGCTACATTCTGCCATTTAGCATGCAATATTGTGAAAATTACAATTACAGTTTAATATTTATTACTTATCTACATTATTTAAATTAGCTATAAGAAATTATAGATAGATGTCAAAAGTAGTTCAATCATGTCCAAGAAG